CATCTAAGCGATATTTGTATTTAATATTACATTAAGTTTGAACATTGTAAGAATTGCCACAGCCCCCGAGGGTCTTGGGGTACTTCATTTTCGTGTCTGTAAGTCACAAATGATCAATGACTGATTCAAATGTGATGAATCCCTGATTACCTAGATCACATTGTGTAAAGAAATTCGAGTAAGGAAACGTAAAACGCTCCAAATCTTAAAATTCCGACAACGCATCGGCGAGCATCCATGGACGTTGGTATCACTTAACAGCAGGTAAGCCTATTTTCCCCTGTCATATAAGTTGACACGCCTGTATACGCCTGCCTGATAACGTTTTTGATAAGCCTAAGAAATAACTGCCCTTTCACAATACTTTTACCAATGAAATCTTAATTTCACAAATAGAAGTTGGTATACATCTAGAAATCGATCGCACAACCTCATGGTTGAGAATTGCACATTTTACCACAACAATGGCTAAGACTTGAGGAACATTTAACGACATGCAAATCGCGTTAGTTGTAAGTGTAGGAATGATTTCTTGCGATTGTGGAACAGACGCTCATTTGCATGGCTATCAGTTCCCACCATTCTTAGCTGTTAATGTAAATTTCTCTGTTCATATAATTTTGCGATATATATATATATATATCGCAGATTCGAAGAGATTGCTATGGATATGTTATGTTGATTTAAAATAAGCCGATGATAGAGCAATTGAAACTCAACAATCCAGCACACTACTGACAGATTTACACATTAATATTGACAGTTTATGACCTGTACGATGTCTATGATATTGCGTGGTGTTGTCATTTTTTATTTAGAGAATTTACAATTTTCAAATGATAAAAATATCAATAACAGGCAATTGAATTTTTAATACAGTTGCTCAAAAAGTGGCGTATTGCAGGGACGTATAGCGTTCGGGATGTGGGCTATTACACACTCGTGCTTTTTTTTTACCTTTTCCGAACTAGTGCGTTTTCTTTCCCAACTGTCAAAATAATGTCTATTAAAAAGAAAAAACCAACCACGAAGTTTTTACTAAAAAAAATTCATAGAAATTTTTATGATTCATGCAAATATTTCTAAAAAGAAGCTACTGCTTTGTTTCAATATAAGATTTAATGATTTGATTCAATGAGTTAGGTTAGATTTCATTTCATCTCGTTAAATTTCATTTCATATCAATAAAAAATGGTACTGAAGACTTGGCTGTATGGGCATAGTTCTCTTTGCCTACCCAGAATGGGTGAAGAAAAAAAAAATATCTGCTTATATTCTTTTACGGTTGGCGCCATTTTCCAAAAATGTTCTTTGCGCGTTTAGTTGTTTGTTATATTATATATTAAATATACATGAAAAATCATACGAAATAAATAATAGTTTGTCTCAAACAGTAAATAAATATGCAACCTAAAACTTCTCCAGTTAGTATAAAAAACTGTTCCAATGTATGTGAACAATAATTTGTATAAGAAATAAATGAGTAGTGAGTTGAGTTTATTGTTTTTTTATTATTTTATTAAATTGCATAATTTTTTCGCAACTGTATTAAAAATAGTTGTTCAGTACACGTGCGGAACCGTCATTGCAACTTGTTCCGACTGTCAACCCTCTTCGGCGCATACTATTTTGTAGTAGTAAGTACAAGAAAAGAAGACTTGTAAAAATTATGTCGCATGATAATTGAAATTTTCTTGAAAACATTAAGAAAGAATAGGAGATTTTATTAGAGTAATATTGTATTAACTTTTTTGCGAAGTAATCTAATCAGCTCGAACGAACACGATTGTTGATTTATAATCCATTTATCGAAAAATACATCCTTAAATTCTGTTCCTAATCGAGTTATCGTCGGCATCTGTAATTAAATGAAATACTAAAGAAAACTGAACAGAGTCGTTAATTTCCTCCGCGGCGGGTGCTTCGCCGGCTTTAAACAGCTTTCGCGTCGTTTTCCTTGATGGAAATTATGTTTTTACACTTTCACTTATTACGCTGACGTTAAACTAATTTGGTTTCATTTTTAAGCGAGAGTTTTTTAAACGTGATCCAAAGTTTTGTAATTTATATAAATCTTATTTAACAAATCCCGTAGCGTTTATTACCGTCGATAAACTTATTTTAAAAGCAGATATGTCATAAAAAATAAGAAAACGAGCATGGTAAGTAAAAGTAAGCTCTTCAATACTGATATAGTACCTGTACTCTATGCATCTCAAACTTGGCCGTCCACTAAAGCGCAGCATACGAAGCTACAGGTGTGTCCAAGATCAAAGGAACGATGTATGTTAGGGAAGAAAAGAATAGGCAAAATAAAGAAGAAAACTTTAAGAAAAACAACTAAGGTAACAGATGTTACAATAAAAATAAATAATCTAAAGTGTAAATTGGTCCTCTTGGAACAGAAAAGTGGCAATGACAACTTAGAAGGTGTGATTAGATAAGATAGTCCAAATTAAAGCAACAGCAGGTGGTACATGGCAGAGAGCGGCACAGATCAAAGAGGAATGGTGAGATTTGGAGAAGGCCTTTGGCAAAAAAGGGCCGCACATACCTAAAAAAAGATTGAAATAGAAACGTGTTTAAATGTATAAGTATCTAAATTAAAAGACTATTATTATTATTATGTCTTTAAAAATATTAAGTTTCAAGGCAATTTATAACGAAATTATATACAAGATTAAGAGATTTATGTTTAGTTTCACTTAACTTCAACACGTAGGGGAGCGTGGGGCTAGTTGTAACAATTTTAACAAATAATTGAATATCATGAAGAATATTGGCTAAATTACTACTAAATAAACTTTGATCGATACTCTTACTATTTATCTATGAAGTCGAATCGAAATATTATCAAATCTACAGGTAACTATCTCACAATTATTTTTTTTCTAAAAAAAGAGAAGTGTTACAACTTACCCATTGGTTGGGGCTAGTTGTAACAACAAAAATGACACCTTCAATCGTTTAATTTTTTCACATCTTGGATCATTTTATCTCTTAGTTCTACCTTACATCTTACCATCGCAGATTTGTTAACTTTTCCTTCCCCTTTCACTTTTCTTTATCATCTTCTTTTTGCATTTTCTTCATCTTTTCTTCATATTCTACTCTCAAAGCTTCTTTTTCAGACGTATCAGTCAGAACAGCAGACTTCCTTTTGCGTCTGCAATTTATATTTGTTTTTCGTGGTGGCGCCTTTGGTAATGGTCTAACTTTTGATGGGAAAAATTGATTTTGACCAGAGCAACTTGGAGTTAGTTTGTTCGCAGTTTCAATGTGGCGTATAATTTATATTGTGCTGATATCCACTTCAGGAGCAGAATCTAATAGTTCTGGATGTTTTAGACTCAACGATAAATTCTCACTTTCATTTAGAACATTTTCTGATTGTTCTGTAGGCTCTGGATGATCAGTAACATAAGAGAGCGCAAAGTCACTATCTTGGAAAATATCAACATTCAAAGGCCAAATACCAGAAGCTTTAAGTCTACTGAAAATGACTCCTTCACTACACTTGGGATGTCATAAATTGTCATCGTTTTTCCTGGATTATTATACATCCATGCAGTCTGTGCTCTGTTCACGTAGTTTTTAAAAGGGCCGTAGACTCCTACATACATAGGTTGAAAATTGTGGGAGCAATGGGAGGAAAACTATAACATGATAATATTGTTTTCTTTGGCTTTTTCGACAACTGAGCTGACACTACTCACAACTGAGAGACAACATTCACATGTGAGCCATGATTATCGAGCAGTAACAGAACTGGCTCTTTCTTGGTAGGTTTCGCGTGTTTGATAAAGTGATCTACAAAAATCAAAAATTCTTTATCAGTCATCCTCCACCCTGAGGAATTGCCAGCTCCAATGCAATCTTCAGGTCCACCGCGAATGAACATTTCCGAGTATTTAAGCCGGGGAAAACTGAACATCGGCCGTCAGTAACTTACAGCAATCTGGGGGCAAATTGTAACATGTTACAACAAACCCCGAGGTTTTGTTACAACTAGCCCCTTGATATAGTTCTTAATATTTATCACGATAACTATTAAATTAACTTAGTAATATTGAAAACTGTTATACAACATCATAAATAGTTATATTTTAGCATAAAATAAAATACATAAAACTTCAAAGTTACGAAAATAGTAAAACTAACCAAAAATTTACGTTAGTAAAATTATAGGTTTCCTGTCAACAATAAAGCGTTTGCACACACCCACTCACTGAGCCGCCTGGCAGGACCCTGGCTGTGGTAAAGTGGCGTGGCACGTTATAAGTTGAAGATTAGGTAAAAAAAACGTGAATAAAATTCAAATTCCTATTGAAAAAGGTCTGTTACTATTTACCCCTGTAACAACAAGCCCCGCGCTCCCCTACATATATCAGTCATATTCTGTAACTAAGGATTAACTTAATAGGGTCGGAATAAAATAACTTATTTAGGAGCGAAACTGTACCTGCCAGCAGAGATAAGATAGCAGTGGACCTAACACAAACACTTAATGAAAGATTTGCGTAAACGATGATATAAATTCCTTTTTTTAATGATATACGAGTAGTATTTAAGAATCTTGTACGTAACACTAATAAATTTTGACGTAATATTTTTTTCATTCAAAAAATAAAGCTTGGTGCCGATATTTTTTACATTTGATAGTTATCCGCTGATAATTGTAGATACTTACAACGTATAATACGTTGTAAGTATCTGGAAATTACAAAAAATGCAGAGGACTATCAACTTCACTCTGGAATAATTTCAATGTATGAAAGACATTGAAAAACTTCCAAGTAAAGTTTAAATCTTTAGTATGAATAAATACAATTTCACAAAGTAATTTATTCAAACAATTCATTAACGGATGAAAAAGCTTAAATGAGGCAGTGGTGTAAAAATCACACAAACAATCTAACGGAATATTGCAAATACTGATTTCGTGGCCTAAATGGTGTTGATTGGCGTTTCAATTAAATTCTAGTTAATCATAATATCAAATGGTTATCAGTCAACTAGATGTGGCAGTCTCTGGTGGATCAGAATTCCATCAAGGTATCTAATTTACGCGTCTGGAGGATTACACAGTCAACGTTTTAATGGCGTATAGAATCTTGGATGTTTGAACACGTTTTTGAACCGTTAAAGAATATTTAAATGTGCAGTACCATAGACAAGGAATTTGTTTCAAATCTGGTAATAAGACTGAATTCCTTACCAACCCACACAAATATATAGTATTTACAATATTATAATATACAGTATAATAATAACAATAATTAAAAATTTATAAATAGAAAACAAAAACAAATTTTAAAATGTTTGATCCCAGTGTACCATTAATGCCCGCATTTCCTCGCTGTATTGCGATACTTATTTGGTGGTTTATATGAATGTGACAATTTGAATGCGTTCGTTTATGACTTGTATAGAATCCTATACAGTGAGGCTACTATACCTTTACCGCATATAATATATATTATGTAAACATGCCTGTGTCGTGAGACAATATACAATATTCAAAACTCGTTATCACTAATTGGGTCCTTATCTTCCTAATTGGCTTTTGTTTTTCTTATTTGTTTTTGTTCTTTGTTCATTAGATGTTTTTGTATTGTTTTCGATATTTATAAACATGCCTAATTGAATGGTAGGTAAAATATTGAAAATTCTTTTACTAGATGACATTATATATGTATTTCCGAATAAATTTGACTAAGCGACCTTCAAGAAAAGAGCGTACCAATTCTTAAAAGACCGGCAACGCACTTGCGAGCCCCCTGGCAATGTGAGTGTCTTTGGGGTATCACTTAAAATAGGTGATCATCCTGCCCGTTTGTAATATATAAAAAATGATGAGCTTAGGGTAGCTAATACCCTTTTTCTATCTTATCGATTCAGATTATGTCACACAAATTATATTTATGTGATATAACGGATGGCCTTGTCCATAATTAGCAACTTATATGAACAAAAAAAATAAACATAGTAGGATTAATACGTATTAGTCATTACATAACTTTCAATTTCATTTCAGAATCTCCAGACGAATTCACCGTTTTCGTAGGCCGTTGGACTGAGTGCTCTGTTCACGATGTGGAAAATACAAAAACTATTGAAAGGTGAGTCACCCTTTTATCGGATGAAATACATTCCCAGCTTATTCGCGGTTCATTGGTTCTGGTGCTACGGCGTAGCTACGGACTACGTCGCTACACGCTTAAGGGCGTGCCATAAATTACGTCATGCAATAAAAGTCTGGTCAATCCGATATATACACATTCTTTAGTTGATTTCTTAATTACTGAAGGTTGTACTGCTGTTGCATGTGCTATGTTTTGCTATGTTATGCTACACACAATCTTCCATCAATAAATAACAGAAACTATACTCTTATACATATAAATAACGCACACAGTTAATTCTCGGAACAAACGCAGGCTGTAATTTGCCCGTACTATCTAAAGTTAGTAACTCTTTTTTGGGAAAAGGGATACTCTTCTTTAATAAAATCCCAAAGGCTCTTTTATCTCTGCCTTTTAATAAATCTAAGAAATGTATTAAGGAAAAGCTGTGTAAAAAGGCTTACTATAAAGTTAACGATTATCTAGTTGATAAAAGGGCCTGGAACTAGTGCTAGACAGGCTACTTCTAATTAATTTGCGATATTTGTTTTAAAATAAGTGTTGTTTGATGATTTACTATTTTAAAAGAGTACCGAAAGTTTTTTACGCCGGCTTTTTCTCTCGGCCTACATCCTCTGTCTTCTTTGCCGATGAGTAGGGATGCCTGCAGTTTCATATTTAATGACGTGGCATAAGTACCTGTATCTTATGTTCCATAATAAACATATTTAATTTTTTTTATTTTAATATTATTCACATTATTTTTGATATTACATATTAAAACGAACTTAAGGTTTATCCAATAAAAATGTAAACGAAAATTTACATACACATATATGTGAGCAAAACACTTATTTGTGAAAATATATATATACAAATGCAGTTCTAAACATCTTGTAACATCCATAAACCACCTCCTGGCGACACATTTTTTCTACCTGCCTATTTGTTTTTTGTTTGCGACAAAATGAAAGCATTAACTACGAAAGCAGTCAGCAACATTATTTAGACACTATCAACGCGCAATAAAAAACTTTAAATTAAATTCTTGTAAACACATACGTATAACCAACATGTACCAACTATTTAAGTTTAAAATTTTTTAAATTGTACAAATTACTCTAATCATATATTTCCAACGAATGAAGTCAAAGTCAGTGGGTAGTGAAATAAATCAAATCTAATAACGTCGTTACTTACAATGGCAAAACCGGAAACGGAAGGCACGGCTGGAGCGGAAGAGCATGTATTAGTTCCTGATTAAATTGCTTAGCATTTATTATTTCTATAACTAAAAACTTACACAAGAAAAGAAATACATATGTTTAATATAAATAATAATTTATTTATCACATACTGCCCCCGCGAATTTCATTTTGCCTTAATGTGTTTTTTTATTCTGGATTTTTTAAATTTTTCACACCATAAAAACATTTTTCAGAGTATAAGGAATAAATTTTAAAAAATACTCAAATTTTTCGCTTAGCAACTTATTTTTGGGATTCATTTTTATGAATATAAGTCCCACTTCAAATCCTACATACCATTCCACACTAAATAATTAAAATGATGCTTAGTTTGTACCGAAGCAAAAGATAGATATAACAAGAACTTGAATTCATAATCTAAAAAATATTTGATAATCTGTGTTTAATATTTTAGATACAATATCCGGGTAGAACCTGACTCTCTGGTGCATTCACCTCGTCTCGGGTTACAAAGACGACAAGTGCAGTGTCGAAGGAAGGATGGACAGTATGTAGAAAATATGTGAGTATCTGTATTTTATTTATCTAAAAAATAGTACCAAGGATGGCAACTCTATGAGGAAGCATTATGTCTATTAATAGAGCAGTGTTGACCTGGTCTTCAGCGCGCAAATCGCATTCCTGAGGTCGTAGGTTCGATCCCCAGCCGTGTAGCAATGGACTTTCTGTCTATGTACGCTCGTTCGTATTTCGTTTACCTTAGTAAAGGAAATTTTATTCATTGTGAGGAAACCGGCATTTCTTAGTCCCAAAAACATTGGCGGCGTATTTCAGGCACAGAATGCTGTTCACCGACTTGCATTTTATACACAAGGTGTACATAAATTATTGAACGCATAGACCTCAAAAGTTTTATATCACTGGTTATATACATATAATATGATTAAGAATATAAAATTATAATATATACTTCTTACTTTATATTTCTATAAAGCATAGAACGGGTATATATTAAGTACGCAAGTTATATTATGAATGACTTGACACAATGCGCGGGTTTCGTAAGAATATAAAAAAAAGTAAGTAATGTAAGTAATGAAGTCTTGTGTAAAGGTGTATAGTAAATAAAATAAAATTAGAACTTAATTTAAATTTTCACAGATTTTATCTTTAAAAAGACAAGATTTGACTTAAATTATACATTGACACACGAGACGAAACTTCCCCGATCGATAAAGTACTGAGCTCACGTTTTCAAAGTAAATACCCAGCCGCGACTTGCGAACGCTTTCCCGCCAAAACCAACATCAGTATGCACGAACGGGATCGAATACTCGTGTCTAAAGAAGAGCTTTGTAGATCAGCTTAGTTCGAGAGCTGAATTTTATTACAGGGTTGTCATGTTACTGATTTTCTATATTTTGTAGTAAGCTAGCTAATTTATTTATTTTACACTAAATTACATTAATTTGATAATTCACCCCACGTCATCCTGCTTCGTTGCCAGGTATGTTTTGGGCGTCCACGTTTCCTTTTGCCTTGAGGATTCCTCTCGAGGGCTTACTTTCGGCGTTTTATAGTCCTGTCAACTGACACCTCTTTGCATAGCTCCCATATGATGATGAGAGATTCTCTCGGGCAAGAATATTCCAAGGATTTGACGAAGCGGTTCACTAAGATCTGGAGCTGTGTGGGGTTCTTTGCTTAAGAATACAGTTTTTTAAGTAAATTAATACAATATTTATACTTTGATAAGATTAACGAATACTAATTTTATGTTAACGAGAAATAGAGCCATTAGCCAAAGTCACGAAAAATGTATGATTATAAGTTATGTCAAGTGGCCGCAAAAAAAATTCTAACTTAAAGCTTTATTTATATATAACTATGGTTTCCTTATATTCCATTAAATTAAAATTATTAAGCGCGTGTTCTACATCGCAAAACTTATTATTTTAGTAAAAGATATTCTTAAAAATTAGTATAAATAATTTTTATTTGGTAGCCCTAGCGTCTCGTCTAGATTTGTACTAACTTGCTGATCGATTGCTACTTGTACTGCGAAACTTGGAGCTTCCGTAGCTTATATTGATCTTTTGCTTTTAGCTACGTTATATAAATTATTTAGCTTGGGGTATCGTTTGTCAAAAATTTACAACACATTTTTTTTAAACATTTCATTTGCAAAAAGCCATACGTTTGTGAACGTCACTTAAAGATATGTTACATTTGGGTAATTCAATATATTACTACAATTTTAAGAAAAGCTGTTTTAATACAGCATAAAGACGATTTAAGACCCACGCACTTTTTATTTTTATGGGTATTTTAAGGCACTCGGAACGGTGCCAAATCTTGAAATTATATCCTACGGGTTAATAATAAAATATACAATATTTGAACTGTTTAAAATTTTTCAGGTACTGCGGTGCTGGTATTTCAAACATAGGCGCAACCCGAGTATGCGTGATGCGTGAGAACTGTTCTCTAGGGGAATGGTTACCATGGCGACCACGACCGGATGGCTCGCTTGTGCGTACTAGGCGACTACGTAGATTGCCACAAGGTACAGAGTCATTAAGTCTACGGCAACGTGTAACTTGTATAGAACTTGTTGTTATTAAAAAACATTTTCAGCTAAAACTGTGCATTACTTAAAATGTGCATGCTATATGTTGATTATATAAAAGATGTAAGATTATATTGTTTAAGCTAATGAAATGTTGAACCAGCGGTTGAACCTTCTAAATATCTTAATGTTATTTAAAATATATTTATATAATATAGGTGGTGGAAAAGAGTGTGACGTGGTTGAGGAGGTTAGGCCTGCAGCAATGGAAGCAACTGCTCATTGGACTCCCGGCCCCTGGGGCTCCTGTCATGTAGCCGTCGAATTATCTGCGACACCCGCACCCCGTAAGATATTTTAAAATAGTTATACTATTTGATTTTTTCGTGTTTGACTCGACGTTTTCTATATAATACTTCTATAAAGACAATTCTGTGTGATTGAGGGCGGAACTATGTGGCCATGCATTGCAATTTAAATCTTGAAATGTTCATTGAATCAAATTATAAATCATGTTAATAGAATAAATCTCAAGTTAATAAAGTTTAAATTACGTGGACGATATAAAAGGCTAAAAAAGAAAGAAATCACAACTTTAATACACATAAAAGAAAAAAAATTAATAAAAAAATGAAAAAAGTCCCCCACACTAGGATTCCCTGTATCGTGGGTATAGTAAATCATAGAGAATGTTGTAATCCTTATTAAAACTTGTGTTTTTAGAAAATGATGAAGACGATGACGCAGATGATGATGACGCAATCTATGATGAAGATGATGAGTCTGATGAGGGCGATAAAGACATTGACGCGAATTGCGGCGGTGGAGTACAGCGGCGAGAAGCAACCTGCGTCCGCGCAGATGGGCGAGCACTACATCCTGCTCAGTGCGCACACACAACTATGCCTACTTTAGTTCAGCCGTGTGAGGTGAATGTTGTCAAAATATTAAAAGTCAATAGTCAAAAATCATTTATTCATATAGGTAACCCAATTTACACTTATGAACGTCAAAAAAAGAAAAAAACATTAAATGCTTCTAATCTTACATTTACTGCCAGTTCTCAAATCAAGGGCGTAGAACGGAAGTGAAGAACTGGCAATTAACTCTCCGCCACTCTTTTTAATCGCCAAGTTTTTTGTTTTACACAAAACAAAACACGTTTTACTTTTAAATGGAATAATTAAAAGGATATAAACGAGAACTATTTATTTTAATAAATCAACGTTTCGGGCGCTTTTTTTTAAGCAATTTATTTGTTAGTAATTGTAGATGCTTTCAAAGTATGTAAAATATTTAATGCCTGTTAAATTACGTTGGTTTGTTCGCGGTGGCTGAACAGACATCTCCTGGAAAGACAAAAGGAGAAAGACAAAAATATAAAAACATTTTTATTTTATTTTTTATTTATTTACACTTCGTTGCAAATAAAAGAAACAAAATACATAAAAATTATAAGGGATGCAACGGGCGGCCTTATCGCTAATAAGCGATCTCTTCCAGGCAACCCTAGTTAAAGAGAAAAACTAAAAAAAAAGAAATATGATGCGTTCGAGAAGTGCAGAACCAAATGTTTTATATAAAAAATATAAATATATATATATAGAACCTTAATCTAAAGTAATACAAAAGAAAATATTAATAAAAGACTAAAAACTTAAAAGCTAATCTTACAAATTCATGAACAGCAATAGTGATGCAAAAGGAAACATAAGAATTATACAAGTCACGATTGATCAGGATAGGATAAGGTTAAGAAATGATTATACAGAAGAGTTTTAAACTTCCCTTTTACCCAATCTAACCAATAAAATCTGGAAAAAGATCAACAAAATCGTAACAATAATAATGAAAACAGGTTCCATGTCCACGTGACTGTGAAGTGGGAGAGTGGAGTGAATGGGGCGCTTGTCAGCCGACTGACGGCTGCCCCTTGTATCCAGTTCAACAACTCACTACTACGGGTAATATGAAATATTGCTTTTTATACGATTTTCTATTATATTGTGATAATAGTGATTTATTCATTGTTTTTACTAACATTTGGTTGGTAAATAAAAATGTAATAGCCTCAATTTATTTTTTATGTATTACTAGCAGACTCGGCCAAGCTTTACTGTGGCTTAAGTTTTTGTTATATTACATAGTAGTAAACTATTCAAGGGAAACGGTAGGAGGACACCAGTCATGGGGACCCATGGGGACCATGCTTTTTTGGTGGTTCTGCCATTAAATTGTAGCTTATGTGAAACGTTGCTACTTTCAACACAGCGCCATCTGCTAGAATTGTGACTGTCAAATAATAAACAAATAATTTGCAATAAAATAATATTACGGGTATAAATGAAGATGTAAGCCATCCTATCTTTTAAGTTAGATCAAACTGCACACGGTATGCAAAATTGATTGAAATCGGTTAAGTAGTTTAGGAGTCCATAGCGGACAAACAACGTGACACGTAATTTATATATATTAAGATAAGTGAAGTTTTCTAAATGTAAATAAAAATTTGGGTTCAAATATAATACTGAGACTTATGTGAAGCTGAAAATATTTTTGAATTAAATTCTTTTGACAGTCGTTCAATAAAAGTAAAATATAGATCCAATTACCATTACTTAGAAGTCATAGATTTTTATTATACAATCGTTGAATCAAAATAATAGAAAATCATATTTATATAAATATCAACCTAACATTATAATCTCATAAATATAACATTTCAGGTTACAGTGTGCGTCGTCGGCGTATAATCGCAGCCGCTTCTGGTGGTGGGGCCCCATGCCCGCCTTTAGAGGAAAAACGCACCTGTAGCACCCCCCGATGCGCGTCGTGGAAGGCCCTGACCTGGGGTCCTTGTGTTCTCAACCAACAACATAGCACATGTGGGGCTGGCCGACGGAGTCGGGAATTAAGATGTGTCGGGCATGATGGAGTGAGTTAATTTTTGATTATTATTTAGGATCACTTGTTCCTGCTAAAATTTCCGAAGGTTTAAAAAAATGTTGCTAAGAATCGTTTTTAAAAAAATGGGTTTTTTTTAAATTAATTATCTATCAAACTGACCAATAATATACCAGATATAATTCTTCTTACTCAGTATTGGATTACCAAATTACAACGTTTGTGTACAAAAGGTGTGATTTTACTTAAACAACTTTGTATTCTCACATTAGAAAGAGGCTCAAAGGGCTTGGTGCAGTGGTAGCGGGGCCCCAGCTCGTACAGAACGCTGTCGTATCGCGTGTCCTGGTGATTGTGTTGTGACTTCTTGGGGCGCTTGGTCTTCCTGCTCCGCTCCCTGTTTAGCTCCAGGCCACGCCAGACCTACTAGAACCAGACGACGATTTATTGTCGCCCATGCATCACCAAGTAAGTAAAAGAAGGAAGAAGAATTTCAAAACAGTTATATCATTAAACTTCAGTTAGTTTAAGTGTTTCGTGTTTGAAAATCATTAATGTTTTAATAACCTCAATTCGGAGTAATTCATAGACATAGACATATCATTTATTACTAATGAAACACACACACACAGAACACATATACCTTTAACAATTTTTTTTTAATTCTGCCAGAGACCACAAAAGTTAGTTTGCGCATCAGTCGCAAAAAAAGAAAACGTAGGTACACGTAAACGTACAAAATAGACGACGTACTAATTCAAGGAAAAGGGATTTATTTTGGTTACAATAATACAAGGTTTAGGGCTTATTAGCGTAGTTATATAGAGTTTAAACATATATCTTAAAATTATTTGCAGGTGGCTGGGCATGCCCCGCACAAGAACTATTAATTCAAAATGAAACATGCAACACGCATGCATGTGGGACGTACTCCTGGCTAGCAACACCATGGGGACCCTGCGAGCGACGCAATCAAGAATCGCCGGCTAACAACTATACCGACTTACTGGTAAATATAATTTAAAGAATTTGATTTATTTCAGATATACATACTGCTCTGAGCAGCGTTGGCCTAGAGGCTTCAGCGTGCAACTCTCATCCTTTCTTTCTATGTGCGCTGTTCGAGTGAATGTTAATCAGTCACTCGAAGAGTGAAGGAAAACATCGTGCGGAAAACGGCTAACCAAACCCAAAAAGTCGAAGGCGCATGTCAGGCACAGGAGACTGATCACCTACTTGCCTATTAGATTGAGGCTCACCAACCTTGTAGCGCTACTGGTAGAGAGAGTAGTCACCAGTGTCTTATGTATAACTATGTTTTTGATGAATAAAAAGATATTTTCGTGCATTACGGTTGAGTTGCTGTTCTTACAAGTAAATTAGAATCGTCTGGTGTAATATAAATTGGATTATAACAGTGCAATGTTTACAATGTGTACAATTATTTGCTTATAGCGCCACAATCTAAGGGTTGAGGCACGCGCGCCCCCAAAACTACATTGGTGAATTTTAAATGTTGTAGATATAATAAACGGATCGTTGAAAATTTAATCCACCGTTTTTCCACGTAATTAATAAATAAATTATTAAAAAACTATGCTTATAGGAAACAGACGTCTACAATCAAAGCGATGATGAAGAACCATGCATTGAGGAAGGAGAGATGGCTCGAGATGTTATGTGTGTACAGAACAATGCTGATGTTGTAAGAGAGGCTCTGTAAGTATATGTGTAATGTTCGATTATATTCCTGCATTTTTTATAGAACAGGCTGCAAATGGACTGTAGGCTCTCCTGATGTTAAGTGATAGTGCCCATGAACACTCTTAAATCCAGAGGGCTCGCGAGGCCGGTCTTTAAAGAATTGATACGCTCTTTTCTTGAAGGACTCTAACTCAAATTTCACTATACTTGTATGAAATTTATGATAGTAGATAATTTATTTAACCTCTTGTTTGTTTATTTATTTATAGGTTCTAAAACAACGTGTATGCAACGAGTGGTGTGATAATATGTTTTTGAATTAATAATATTTACATTTTGTTTATAGTTGTGCTCCATTAAAACGTCCCGCTTCTCGTCGAGCTTGCACTATTCGTTGTAAGCGGGGCTGTCGTGTTGAAGCCTGGATGCCTTGGTCACCTTGTCCTAATACCTGTGGTATAAATGATTTAACTATTGACCTAACATTAAATAATATTATGACTTTTTATAATATATGGAGCAGTGTTGGCCTAGTGGCTTGAGCGTGCGACTTTCATGATGTTTCTCTTCACCGTTCGAGCGAATATCAAATGCGTTTATAGCAAGTTCATTAGTGCACACTGCACAGCCAGGAATCGAATCTACGACCTCAAGGATGAGAGTCGCACGCTGAAGCTACTAGGCCAACACTGCTATCATTACATCAATACATCACTATTTATATGTATATAATACATACGCTTTAAACATTTGTTATAATAACCGCAATATTATAACAGACCCAGGAAAACAAGTACGAGTGCGTCGTGTCCAAGGAGGCCCCAACTGCGGGCCCTTGCAAGAGTCCCGAGACTGTCCTGTACCTCGGTCGTGTGGGGCCCGGAGTCCCAGTTGGGTCACCGGAGAATGGAGTACCTGTAAATTACCACCAGCTCAAAGATGTGGTATCGGATATCGAGTTAGAAGTAAGTTGAAGGACTAACTGAAAAAAATAATTTTAATCAGAATTATTTTAGTTACTAGAAGAGATGATTCTTAAAATAGTATTTAGTTTACGTAATGTGATAAAACTACAAATCAAAATTTCTTCATTTCAGGTATTTGGTGCGGATCAGAGTCCCATCGGGTAGAAGCCGGCGCGTGCGCAGGAGAAAGTGTTCCCCCAAGTGTCGCCCCTTGCCGAGTGAACTGTGACATTGCAACCCCACTAGATTGCCATGCCATATGTCAAGAACCACTCAAGTTAGTAATCTAATTATAAATTTACCATAAAAAACTTCAATACACCGAAAAACAAAAAAAAACTATTTAATTGACATGAATTATATCTATCAAATTTTCCGAATTAAGTTAATTTGTATTATGTATTATTTATTATATTTTAACACCAGACCAAATGTGGAAGTCATTAAGTCTAAGTGTGGAAACCGAGTCCACACGACTATTTATTTTATATGTAGTGAGCTTTCAACTCAATTATTATTAACAAAAAGATCGACTAAAGAAGTAACATAATAAAAATGTTCATTCAATTCGTGCTTTGCAGACATGATTATAATTTTAATTCGACAACATTCTTCGCTTGTAATTGATTTTGTCGAGGCAAATAAGTAATTAATATAATATATTAATGGGTATTTTTCAGGTATTTAGATGCTTCAGACCCAGACGTACCGTCCTGCGTATGCAAAAACATCACCCTCGAACTTCTACCGGCGGATTCTGATTGCATTCTACCTTCTGGGTATGTCTACTTACCATATTAGAAAATTTACACAATTTAATATGATTTATTTGTGTATCTTAATAAATTAATGACAAGCAATTTCATCCCGAAAAAAGTGTTGCATAGCGAAACCAGCGCTTTTTGAGATGTTGTTATTGGAGAATCGTAAAAAATTTATCGTTTGCATTTAAGATATTTATTACCCCCAGTTGATTGCTACAAATTTATACTAAATTAAAATTTGGCGTACCCTCTATATACCCCGGGCATCCCATCATCCCATTTGTCCCTTTGAGAAGAACGCGTTGTGGCCAAAACTCACCGATATCAAGATTGAGCATTTCGATAACCGAGCTAGATCTATCCATAGTTGCTTCCCATTTTAATTCAATTTTCCTTTAGGTTTATAATTTTTTTTAATTCTTCGTGTATGTTATGTTTGCCTATAAAAGCAGGTAACATAAAATATTATATTTTATTTTTCTTGTGCCAATGTATCAGTGTGCCGAGCGTTGGCTGACTTTTATAAATAAATATAATTACCCCTATTTCGATCCTTTAGTGTCTTTATGATGGCTCAGTAGAATTCTTAATATGACGGTAAGATAATCTTTTGTAGAATGGAATGTGGTGAAGGAAGATCACTGCGAGCGGCTCGTTGTATGGTCGGCGGTCGGGACGTACCAATGGATGTGTGTAAAAAGTTCCATCCTCTAACAGGTATACATTTTGATTATACTTATATTTTATTTATATAATGTATTTTTACTATACACTTAGCTTAAAAAGCAGTATTACGAAAACCAAAGTGCAATTATAAACCTTTGCTTAATATTTTCGCATTTAAAAATGTTGATACAAAAACTATAATTCAATTTCGTAACTTTGGTGGCGAGTTTCACCATCGGACGTCGAGGCAGATTATCCACTCCGACGTCCGTTGTTCCACAACACAGCTTTTAGAGCCCATTTTTCCCGTGCAATATGTGGAATCAGCTGCTCACTGAAGTATTTGAAGTACTTTGGGTCGTTAAAGATAAGAGCATACCAATTCCTAAAAGCACGCACTTCGAGCCTCGAAGCTTCTGGCAGTGTAAGTGTCCATGGGTGGAATCACTTAACATCAGGTGAGCCTCCTGCCCGTTTGCCTCCTATTACATAAAAAAAATATTATCACACCCCTTGTTGCATACACGTTGTTCCCTGTACTATAAAAAAGACCATTCAATAGTTAAGTTAAATAAACCTACTCTAATAACACAGATCGTATTAATATACCTCTATGCTATATTTTTAACCACAAAATATACTTTACATTAAACCTATAGATACTATGGCGGTATAACGGCATACTTTTCAGGCCCACGTCGTGTACGAGAAGCCTCAACAGACGGCTTCACATACGACACAGAGTTTGGGTCACTGTTACGCGGTACGTGCACTGTGCGATGCGCTCGCGACTGTACTGTGGGGCCCTGGGCTGCGTGGGGCCCTTGCGCATCCGAGCCTGGCTCTAAAGCCGCGTTCCGATTTCGTACAAGGTATATTGTTATCGCAATCTCTTCAATTCGTTTATGATATTCGTTTTAGAATTTAATCTCACTGTCAAGATTCCGCGGTAGCACTCAATCAAAAATCCAAATTTATCTTAAATTAAGTTCATCATAAAGACTTACCGCTGGGTTATTTGCATAAGCATTACGGTACAGAGTTTTTGACAGCTTGAACGCATCCAAGTTCCATGGAATTTATATGTTTACCATACGAATTATTTTCAAAATTAGTCCTAACCCTAATTGTAATAATATATATAATATAAAATAAAATAGCGTATTTAAACTAAGACTATAGACGGTATCTTTGTTTTATACTATACAAGACTAGAATATCAAAGACTACTATATGTTACTAGAGAAGTGATAGAAGAGGGATCGGCGGGCGGTCGCGAATGCGGAGCGACTCTTCAACGGGCTACATGTTCTGAAATAACTCCTCGATGGTCAACTGGGGAATGGGATGTCTGTACGCCTGATCATACGCTTTGTGGGCCTTCGTATGTTAAGAGAGATGTCATGTAAGAATTTTACTTTATTTCTTTTTGAATTAAATATTAGTGGATGGTATAATTAAAACAAAAGAGCTATTAATGCAATTCTCTTGTTTTGTGATGTTTGATTTTTTTTAATTTGTTTTGTTTCCTGATAGCTAATTAAATACATTGTTTGAAATTATTAAGCTCGAGAATCAGGAGTCAATTTAATTGATAACTTAAAATCTTTTCTACTATGTGTTTCTGTTTAATATTTGAGGAGTAGAGACGATTCATGAATCATTTTTGGGCAAAATATTTTCAACCACTGTACACCGTACTTTATAATATCAATAATTTAATATTTGACTTGCATTCTAACAAAGAAGTCTTATGATTTTTATTGGATACAATTATTTTTAATAATGTAATAAAAATAATATAATAATATTTTTTTTTACATATATTATTTTTTGTTGGAACCTGGGTCAATTTTTCACTTAAAATGTAAGTCAATTTCGAGTATCCGTGTAGTGTCAAATACTTTAAATTCCGTGGTTCATTTACTCAATATTATATTTATTTATCAACAAAACATACATACAATATATACACAACTACTAACATATTTTGTTTTTTTTATTAAAGTTCCTTGCTTTATGAAAAATATCGCTCTTACAGGTGTGTCGATGGCCAAGGTAACAAAGTAGAGGACTCTGTCTGTGAGACATCTGGTGCCGGAGCCGCTCCTGACAGAGTGACGCCTTGTCATATGCCCTGCCCAGCTGACTGCGTCCTCAGCCCATGGTCTGAGTGGAGTCCTTGTGAACTGGTAAAATATATTTCTTTTTTTATAAAGTACTTTTTGTTAGTTTCGTGTTACACTATAGGAGTACAATTTGTTCAAGTGTTTCTGTTATCAAGTTTTTTTGTTTTTTTATTAATTATTAATTTAACAAATGTTTTATAGTATATTTAAATTAATTAATTAAATTACACGTTTACACTTTAGTGTCTTCGATTAATGCTTGTTTTTTTAATTTCGTGCCCATTTTGCGGTTTTTGTATATATAAGTTTAATAATAATAAAAAAATATGCATATGGGAAGGTTTTTAAGGTGAAACAGTTTTAGAGTTTACCCATTCCAAACATATATCTTAATGAATCACAACGTCTATATTTTTAATAATTCTAGACAAAATGGGGCGGTCGTCGTGACCGAACCCGTGTGGTGCTTCGCCCCGCAAAATCTGGAGGCATGCGATGTGGTCCGTTAGTTGCAGCTGAGCCCTGTCAACCCTTAGTGCATTCTTGGCATACTGCACCTTGGGATGACTGCCAACCTTTAGGTAACATTTTCAACACATATAAACTTGATGCACGGTCTATAGAAAAACTTACATCTCGGAGCAATTCCACTCGTAATTTTCATATAGATAGACTAAGTGTTCATGGATGGAAATGGACCGCGGGTGTCCAAATACTTACAGATTCAAGAAAATCGTGTAAGGAAATGAAGTGAAGTAAAAGGATTGTGAAATAATACTTATAAAAAATGTATATTATTACAACAATAAAAATTAAAATACATTAAATCAAAATATTTTCGGTATTGTACTAGTATAAGTGCGATAATATCGCATTACTAGGTATAACATATTCATTGTGAAAAATAATCAGCTATCTCTTGATACCTCGGCGTCAGAAGTAAGTGTGTAGAGAACTTACCTATAAAAATACATAAATAAAATCACAAAATTTTACAGAACAGCCCTGCGATTCTGTAACTCACTTTTCGAACTCACACAGCGGTTTTCGCATCGGCGGTCGCTCTGAAATCAGTCGTGAAGCAGTCATTTTATGATTTGGCATTCTAATAAACAATAAACTTCAAGCTCCCACCTGTTCAGAATGCCAAATCAGAGTTACAGAATCGCAGGGCAGGTGCGTAATACCTACCTGGTTATAAATCGATCACATAACTACTTTTTTATTTCGGTCTAGGAAAGAAATAAATTTATATAAATTAATTTGTAATGTTCCAGGAGGTTCTCCATGCGGAGAAGGAATTAAGAGAAGAGCAGTGCGTTGTCTTCGCAGTGATGGAGTGTTTGTCAACGATTCCTTCTGCCCTGTGAGTTTACCTTTTATGTCTTACAGTAGTGAATAAAAGTAAAATTTTCAAAATGAAATGTACAACTTTTAAGTGCTTGAGAATTTAGTTGCACTTTTGTTTTGCATTAACATTTAAACTTAAACTAATAATTTTAAAACAATATTACGAATATAGGCTCTGGGTTTAATCCGAAACATTATTTAGATTTAAACAATCACTAGTCTATAAATAAAGGAAACAGACATAGAAATGTGTTTTCCCTTGACCACGGTAATTACGGCCCATAGATACCAGAATTATGTTTCTAATATACAATCAAAGCTGTAGCAGTATGTATATGACATTAATAATTGCAGAACGTCACAGCCCGTGAAGCAAGTGAGTCATGGTGTTATGTGCCTTGCGGAGTGGACTGCGAAGTAGGCGAATGGAGTCCTTGGGACACTTCTGCCTGCTCTTGTGGAGACACGTCTTCTACCCGCCATATGCGAAGGACCAGGTATTACTTTCTTACGATTATAAGTAAAAATTGTATGGTGTATCTGTACGCATTTACCCTATAGGTACAGACAAATTTATCAGAACTTTTATTATTTTGATAACACGCATTTAGTTTTTAATAAAATTTCTTAACATTAAAATCTCTTTTATAATAGTTTGACAGCTAAGACTCCTATATGTTTCATTCAATTCGTCGTACATTTGTAGAATTATTATAATTTTGTTTTAGACAACATTTAAGCTCAGCTGTATGGCCGGGTCGTACTTGTCCGCCCACGGAACAGCGTGCCCCTTGTCCGAGGGAGCCCTGCTTGAGACTTGTAGCTAGGCCTATGCTGGGATGTCACGTGCAGGTAGAATCTATATATATATAAGAAAAATGGTCTTCGTTTGAGGATCCTTCACGCCTAAACCACTGATCGTATCGATATGAAACTACTGCCATTCGATGCGAAATTTTTATGGCTATTTATTTTATAAATTCCAACGTTTCTTCATTTTTTTATTGCTGTTTTACTTTTATGAAAATTTATACATACGGACTTCACCGCGGAAACATTCGGGGAGGCTTCCTAGAACCTCAAAACGTCAACATCTGTTAAAAACTCGATTTTCGCAAATTTACAATTTCTTAGCGGGAAGTTAAAAATACCGAGAATAATAAAAATATGAAAAAAAAATAATAATGAAACATAAAATTTTATTTATTCCTATTTTTATTCGCCCAGCAAAGCGGGCGGGAAACGGCTAGTATACCATATGTATATAACATTTTTTCACCGGTTGCTTACCTGAGGGGTAAATAACTATCTATTTTGATTTGTGCCTACGCCTTTGCAGTATTTTGTAAATTTGGATTTCGATATAGTTCCTACTGGATATTGAACATTCCAAATCGTAGGGTATTCCGATTTTTAAGGTATTAACGCTTTTAGTTTATAAAACTTCTTACATAAATATAAAGACACAAAAACAGTTTTTGATTTAAATGGACACATCTATCGGCTAAGAATGGGAGTACTCAAAAAGAGTGACGGAGAGTTTATTGCCAGTTCTTCTTGTCCGTTCTACGCCCTTAATTTGAGAACTGGCAGTAAAATTAGAAGCATTTAATATGTATTTCTTTATTGACGTTCATATGTTACATTGTGTTACCTAAATGAATAAATGATTTTAGATTTGAATTGCGACAGAGCCATCAAATTAAAAACAGCAGCTTTGTATATACCTACGGGCCGATTAATATAATTAATATTTATAATTAAATTAATTATTTGTAATAGATTAAATAGATACTAGTTTATCAAATTAGTTACATAAATATAAAGTCACAAGAAACTGTTTGTGTCTGAAATGGAAACATCTCTTGTTTTAAGTCAAAATTAATGTTTACTTAAAGATTGCGACAGAGCGATGAAATGAAAAACAGCAGCTTTTTTTCGCCAAACGCTTTTTCTCCTTCCGCGGCCCTTTCATCTTTAACCATTTCCTCAAAAACAAAATTATCACTAACATTTCAAACGTCACATTACATACACTTACTAAAAATCTCAAACAATATCTTGTCAACCTGTCCTATGTTGATACAGAAAATATTCTTATTGTGCAAAAAAAAATGTGTGTTATATAGAAATCATAAAGTAAAATACAGTTTACGTGTCAAAAGGAAGAGACTGGCTGCCCACAACACAGGGAATCCAAGTGTGGATGCCAGTGCACTTTACTTTACCTAAATATCCTATATATTGTGTATAATAAAGTTTTTTCTTTCTTTCTTTCATATACCTCTTTCTTTCATATATAGACCACTGATTGGTCTAGTGTTTAGTACCCCTGACTGAATCCATGGGTCCCGGGTTCGATCCCCGGCTGAGACGAACATCGATGTGATGAGCATTTGGTGTTGTGCTTAGGTCTTGGGTGTTTAAATATGTATTTATATGTCTATCTATCTATAATATGTATGTATATCCGTTGCCTAGTACCCATAACACAAGCTTCACCAGCTTAGCATGGGACTAGGTCAATTGGTGTGAATTGTCTTTAAAAAAAAAATACCTACGGTCCGATTACAGTGTATGAAGTGTAAAAAATTCAAACTTCATAAAGAAAAAGAGAATTAAATATTTCCAAGTGTATGGATCATTCATATTTTTTCCCAGACGTCGTCAGGTGAAGAAGCCGAAAGCGCTTGCGGATGGGGAGTGCGGGTCTCCCATGCCCGTTGTGAGCTCACGAGTATCTCGGACGAGCTACTGTCAGACGCTTACCTGGACCCCTGGCGTTGTTCAACCGCACTACCGGGCCGAATTGTAGCACCGCCTATGTATCATCAGGTTAAATAACTTGCTAATAGTAGGGGAGCGCTAGGGGATAAATAGGGTTTTACTATTACTACTAATAAGGAGTTGTGGGGACTTATTTGATAGTAAAGGTTCTTTTTATATGTAACAGGATGCAAATAGGCTAACTTGAACCAATGAAAGGGTATGCTTCACATAATTTTTTTTCTATTTAACATCTACCATGCGTCGAAACAGCTGCCCACGAAAGTATTTCCGAACCAATACCAACAATACCCTTCGACAACAACGAACTCGCGGGCCCTCTGTCATTGAGTGTCCATGGGCGGTATCATTTAACGTCAGCCTCCTGCACGTTTGCTCTATCAAAACACCTATTTCAATTTACTTTATTTAAATATTTAATTTTGTGTTAGATATTAATATGTGCTTTTAGATGTATGTATATGTTATAATTTAACAAGTATTGATACATGTTAGTTAATCTATAAATAAACTAATATGCGTATACTTTAATATATACATAATATAGTATATGTTAATTCGAAACAAGACAATATGCATAACACTTTCTAAGCATTTTGTATGATTTAGTATCCTAAATACGACTTTTACTAAGCGACTCGCGCAAATTCATTTAAAATGTTCCCTAGTTCATAACTCTCGTGTCGAACATCCGTCCTATCGTAGAAAGTAGGCACGTAATGAGAGAATGGACCTATCTTTGCTTAAAGCATGTAAACTTTTGCACTACTATGTGGCTGGCTTAAATGATTCTCACCATAGATTAAGGTCTTGGTCGAATCGACCGGGAGAACATTGTTAACTAAAGTCTTTCTACTTGTGTCTTTTTCTTAAAGAAGCTTAATATTCGTATAGGAGGATGAGCTGTGTGAAGTGGAATGTGGGTGCAAAGAAGCGGAGTTAGGCCAGCCGGGACCCTGGGGTTCGTGGGGACCTTGCCGCGGTGGAGCTCGATCACGTACTAGGCAACTACTTGTTCCACCTCGGAGGGCTTGTAGGACATCATCTAGGTATGTAAGGTTTAATCATTAATAATAATAATCTTTATTAATTTCTCACAAAAACTTCTTACATAAACAAATCACAGTTATATATTATTATAAATAAATAGTTGTCTTGCTTCTATTTAGGGAAAATGCTTGTTTGTGTGAGACTGATGCCTGTTAAAGGTAAGAGTAGGTACCTGTGTTACAAGTCATCAGGCCTCGACAGAAAGTCTTAAAAAGTAGAGAAAAATTTTGAGAGATTAAACAATTATTATTACATAGGTTGCAACGTTAATAAAAAAATATATATAAGGAATCCACATGTGTGAGTGTGTGTGTGTGTGTTAGTGTGTGTATGGGTATGTATTATTACTTAATTGTTAATTTAATGAACCTTACACTATTATACTATAAATTATTAGCTAACATTTAACAATCTATTGAAATTTGGATTTATCTGTGTTTGTACTTGTTTCCTTCGCCTTTATGCCCAGAAGATTCTCAGACCAGGTAGTGTCACCGATTCTTCTTATTTAACAAAAGATTACATTTATAAAATACCAATAAGATGATGTACGGGAGTCATAGTACGGGCTTCGTCCCAACTCTCAATCTTACCCTAAAGTTCTATGAAGCTGACTTTGATTCTACTCTTATAATTGGGTTACGCGTTTTGGTAGAAGGGGTAAAAATATAAAAGCGCCAACCCTATATTCCTCAGATATGTGACGATCGAATGGGCAAACTGCAGTGGTGATGCAGATGAAATCCCCGATTTGCTTGAAATTGAACCACGCGAAAGCATCCTACGCCGTGCCAACATAATTGAGAAACGCAAAGTCTATCACGATGGATATATAGGTATTTAATATTTCCTTAGACTGTACTAATTGAGAATATTTTCGTCGTATGTTTGTCGTGTCTTGAAAGGTCGGCCTGTGATCCTTCTGGCTGCATGAGTAGCCATGAGCCGCGATATTTATTAACAGCAAAATATATTTTTTATTCAATTTCATACTACAATGTTAAAAGAATAATCATCTATGATTTACTTCTTAATGTCAAGATAAATAAATATATAGTAAGATCAATAAGAATTTTCAATTGTTTATGCCTTATTGACGGACAAATTCTCTCTCTTGATTGGCTATAATGATTAACAAATGTCAAACTCCAACTCAAAATATCTTTCATATATGTCTCTGATCCAGCTTCAACATTGTGTTATATTTTTATCCACCTATCTATAAACATATGCCTTTTGCCCGAAGGGGTAGGCAGAGGATCTCTTGCTACGGTCCTGACTTACTCTCGCTTCATCCACTTTCATGACATTCATGCATGCTCATTGGTTATGAATAGTTTTGACCTGTCCCTTCTCTCACACATTTATATAATAATGTATGTTATAATTATTTATTAACATCATTAATTTATAAAAAGACTCAAACGTAATTTTTATATAAATGTATTACAAATATTGAAGTAGTATTAAATTGAAGTTACGGTTCATGCCTACAACCATCAAATTATCATACTTTACCTGTTACCTGTTATATAAGTATTTTTTATAGAGGGCAGCACATCTCTGCTATTAGTGGTGTGGACGGCTACTGTCATTCTTACACTTTACGGAACTGTCATGACTTACCGCGGACTTCTTAGGTAAGTTCATTTTCTTCTACATTGCCACCACAATCCCAGTAGTCATTTATTTATGAGTATAAACTATACAAATCTTGTATAAATAACATTAAAATATAAGATAATAAAGCTATCCTAATCCTGACACGTTCGATTCATGTTATAAGAATTGTGTTAACATGGAAAAAGGATTTCCATTTTAACTCTTAAATTTTTTTGACATTAATTTTAAAATCGGGAGCCCCTTTCTAACATTAACTTACATTCTTTATTCCTTATAAGTAGTTGCTTATATTTCATTTTGAATTTTAAATTTCTTTCTGTTTATATTATATAATATCTAAGTTTTTTGGTAAATTCACTGAACTTCAACCGCTGAATCAATTTTTGAATGACAGTGGAAGCCTAGTTGTAGCCCTTACCTAGTAGTAAATACTGTATTATAAAGATTCTTGAAACTAGGATTTAATTTATGTGCAAATTTTCAGATGTCTACAAAGCCGTGAAATGAAGTCAATCACCAAAGTGTAAGCTAGCGGTATATTATGGCAGATGCTTTTGTGAATTGAGAGAATTGCTGATCTCACTAATTTTATTGTTGACAGTGATAATGAAAATTTCATTTTGTTAATTATTGTTTAAGCTCTAAAATTGTTTTGTTAAAGTTTAGTGTTTGTTATTTTTTGCTAATACCAAAATTGTTCCATGTTAATATGAAATAAAAAATTATGGACCTATAACGTTACCTTGGCGAACCATCATATCGAATAATACAGTAGGAGTAGATTTTCCGTAAGTTTTCAAAAGTTTTAAATCTGCAAACAGTCTGTCCGCGAGAGTGCTTCCATGTTTTTAAAATGTTTATGAAAACGCATTAAAACGTTTTGCTTACTTAGCAAATTCAGCCGCATTTGTTCGGGCCTTTCGGATTGACAATATAACTAGCTGTAGCTAGTTGTAGCTTAGATTTGGTCAAAATTAATTGAATTATGGAACCAAATCTTGAATGTTTACATGGATGAATAGTAAATTGAAGGATAGACTTCCCCCATTTAATTTGACCACCGAACTAGTTTTGATTTGTGTTGCATTTTAATACCTATTAATATGAGACTAAGGGCTAAGTAGTGAATAGCGACCAATAAGACGTGACACATCATCTCACATATCAGTGTTTTAATACTCGTCTTAAATCATGTACTTAGTAGATTGATATCCCGATGCTTACAGAGTTTCACGAGCTTTGTCGCACAAATTGTACTTGATAGTTTTAAGCCCTATAATAATCGTAATATTTTGAGGACGTACTCTGTATAACTTTTTTGTAGATTTTGCATAAGCATATGTATTGTGTATGAGTATTATGACGTGAATGTGTTTTTCAACTTCCTTCAATATCATTTCAGTTCTATTTATATTTTACTGTAACTATAAGATTTTTTTATTACGGGTATAACTTTCACCTACTTCTTGTTCCTTCATGACAATATAGATAATTTGAAATACTCCTATTTATATAACTATTGATTAGTTACAGTCACTGTTAATGCTTCTTCTATCCTTTCACGTTTCATCTATATTTCGCCCTTCACTTGTAACCAAAAATTAACATTATATTGATGTGAAACATGTTAGATAAGGGATCGTGTTAGACAATACAATATTTGATATTTAATAAAAATTTGATTGTGTTTTGTAAAGGGGCTTTTATTTTCTTCTCCTCTGAATTTTATATTACTTAATAATAATATTGTTACGTGCTAGGGGATCGGATAGAAGCGCCGTAGATCTCTTCAAGGGTTTATTTCAATTAAATCTACGAGGAATTTGTTAACACTAAAAACTGGAAATTATGCACAAAAATTCACTAAATACACACACAAAATACTGTCACTTATTACTCTAATTACACGCACTTCACACAGTACTTGTATTCACTTGTTTTCACTATATTCGCACTTTGTCACTCCGGTGTTTATCGCTTGGTATCGCATTCAAAACTGAACTGATCCGTGATCGGTCGCGTTTCGGCTCGCTTTTATATCCCTGGGAGCGATGTTCGAGAACTCTCTAGGCGGCAGCGCAACTGAGTAGCGATCGCACAATTCTAGAACGTGCGTACTAGTTATCTCTTTCGCACATTGCTCCGTCCTTGTCGTACGGCGTTCTAGAGTGCTAGGTCTAGCTTCGAGAAGGTTCCTCTCTCTCGCGTATCATTCCGTCCTTGTCTCACACCTAGAAAATTCGTTCTAGAACATTCCTTCATCAAAGGGGTATAACCAGGCCTGAAAACGCCTGAAAACTGGTTTCCTGAAAAGTGTACCACTCGACTACACTTGTTCTGAAACGGCCTGAAAAAATGTTTCAGCCTCCTGAAAACTAGGGTAACATTCTGTAAATTACGATTTTCTAATATGTGATTGACCCTTCCCTGAAACGGTCAGAAATCACATTTCAGCCTGCTGAAAAGTTCTCTAAGTAGTGGAAAAATCTGCAAACATTGTAGTCGACCCGTCTTCGTAACAATATAATAATAATGATATAACCTTTATATTCCGATTGATCTATGATCTTTAATATATTTTCACTACAGTGTCTCTTGGCAAAGAGAGATATAGATATGAATAAAAACATTTCTACGCGTCCTTATAATTAATCTGCATTTGTAGACGTTTAAGTACGTCTTTTTTATAATGCAACTCAGCCAGACCATTCCGAACAATGTCGTTGATCCTTGCTGCTCTCAGTTGTCGCCTATATTCTTTAACTTCCTTCTCAGCAACGATTAGGTTGTCCATGTTAGATAACATAACCTGCACATAAATGGAAACAAATACTATTTTATAATTCTAATTAAGAATAATAATTAAGAATAAAAATAATTTTAAGCACAAACAGTAAGTTGTTTGCTAATGAAATTAAAAGTTAGATTAGGAACTTTTTATTAAAATATCTCTAAATTACTAAAATTAATAAATAATATGTTAACATAGAAATGAAGGATATAAGAATGCTATATTAAATAACTGCATATTTAGATTGTTTATGGTCTTTCGCGGCTTTTTCGGCTCGTCTCATTGTATTAGAATTACAAGTATAAACATTTGAACAGTAATAGTCCGATAGTTCCTTCATAGGAACGTTTAAATTACAGCCTCCTCCTGAACCTGGTTTAATAAGATACGGAATTAATTCGCCAAATAGCTTGTGCTGGTAATTTTCAAAATTCACAAAATTTGGACTAATTTGTGCCAATCTACAGCACAATGTATCGGAATCACTGTAAAATAAGCTTATCCCCGAATATTCTGCTAACGCCCGTATTATTTTCCAATCATATCGTGCTTTACCAGGCGGCGTTATAGCAGGTAGTGCAAATTGACTACGGCATTCCATATTTAAAAACACACCTCCAGACTCAGTATAAGCACAGCCTGGTAAAACAATATTTGCACATTCTGAACCCTTATCTCCTTGAAAGCCTATGTAAATTACTGCTATATCATTCGAGGGTTGACATTTGTAAAATATGTCGTCGGCTCCCAAGGAAATGATTAAATTTGGGCAAATAGCTCGAATGGCACTTAGAGCTCCTGGTTTCCAACCAGCTTCCAAAGCCCCAGCAAAACTTGCCTCGCGAGTTAAAATATTTACAATCCCCCATTCTGGATCAACTTTAAAACCACTCGCGATATTATAAATAGCACTCATTATTTGGCCTCCACTTGGTGTATCCAATTGATCTATTCCTACGAATATAAGGGGGTTTTTGGCACCCTTGAAGTAGTCATTAGGCCCTGATAATGCACTTAAATCATGGCCAACATAATTAACGTGATAATTAAACTCACACTCGGGACCAACTACATAGATATCGCACTCATTATGGGTATATGCCAGTCGTATCCACGCATTCAATATTGGTGCTTCAAAGCGTGGATTAGTACCAACTAAAAGAATTTTATCCGCTTTTGCTATTTCACTCATTTTAATATTCAATGAATAACTGGTCCTTAGATCTATATTTCCACAGGTATGTGTAAGGTTTCTTTCAATAAAAGTATTATCACAACCCAAAATATTAAAGAAATCTTTTGCAGCTACCAATGTTTCTACGTTGCAATAAGGTCCCGCTACCGCTATCATTTTACCAGGACTTACGTTTTTTATTGTGGTGGCTACCATTCTCAATGCACAGTCCCATTCAACGGGTACTAAACGGCTTTCACTGCGACACATTGGTGAAACTAATCTCTGCATTTCTAAGGAATCAATGGACCATCTGCCCTTATCGGATAACCATTCTTGATTTATTTCGTCATTTTCTCGTGGTAAAACTCTAAGAACTCTATTGAATCTGTGATCCAATACTATGTTAGTTCCTGTCGCATCTGTGACATCAATAGAATTAGTTTTTCGTATCTCCCAGGGTCTGGCTTTGAACATATACGGGATAGCTGTCAGTGATCCAACAGGACACAGATCTATTATATTCCCAGATAGCTCAGAAAGAAACATTTTATCTACGTACGTCCCTACTAGCATTTCCCCACCACGTCCCGAAGTTCCTAAGACATCCATACCACAAATCTGTGATGCGAATCTGATACAACGCGTACAGTGAATACATCGAGTCATCTCTGTGCGGATAAGAGGACCTAAATTTTTATCCTCTACAGCGCGTTTCCCTAGAAAATGAATATCAGTAAACCTGGTACGATCATTTCCAAATTTCATTGTTAGGTCTTGTAAATCGCACTCCCCGCCTTGATCGCATATTGGACAATCCAGTGGATGGTCAACTAAAATAAACTCTAGCACAGCTTCTTGGGCTGTTAAAGTTTTCTTTGTATTTGTCCAAACCTTAATGTTTTTGTATACCGGGAGAGCACAAGCTATTTGTGGTTTCATCATACCTTCTACTTCAATTAAACACATTCGACAGTTTCCAGCAATTGTAAGTCGTTCATGATAACAGAAACACGGTATAGATACTCCCTCTCTTCGTAAAGCTTGCATAACTGTGAAATACTTTGGGACACATATTTCTCTCCCATTTATAAAAATAGGAACATCCCCGGATTTACTTCTTTTTTGAGATTTCAATACTTTAGTGTAGCTAGTCAAAATTTTATTTAGGTTTCTCAACATATTTATCGATTGCAATAAAAATTATTAAAATCTTTTATATGTCAGATTTAGACAAACGTGTGACATTTGGTGGGTGGGTCCTTTGTTAAAAAAGGTTTATGTGCCTCCCCAAGCTCACCCTTTAATTTTTGGTCGCAAAGGAACAACGGTTGCATCGGATTGGAAGGTACTACACAAGAAACTTTGTGCCTAAAAATCTTCACAAAAGTCATCAGTCTTTAGGGCTACGTGGGTAACCTAACCTAATACTTGTACAATTAAATGATAATTCAGTTCGTGTGGGGAGTCCTCATATCGCTCAATTAGACAATGCAATTCGTGCAACCCTGACATTATACATTATAAGCAATTACAACATAATATTATTGTCACGTAAATTTACAACACGGAATAGCGAGATGTTAAAATAACTAACCACGTTTTTTTATTTAAAATTCAATGCGTCCGCGCGATTTTATCGATAAATTTATTTGTATGTGCATATTCAGTTCTTTCTTTTATAATTGCAAGTTTTGAAATATTATATTAAATTGTATTTATTGTTATTGATATATTTTTATTTAACAAAACGAAAAATGAATGCCCACCTTGTGTATCGATGAAACGAGCTGCTCCAAGGTTTCCTTAAATTGAATAAATGTCTCAATAGCCCTTTGATTTCTGCAAGAAAAATATTACATGAAGTTTGATCGGACGAGACATCTCAGTTAATAATCCCAGAATTCCAAGTAAAAACAAAAATATAACTACTCTACAAACTCACTTGTGGTCGTGAAGACAGTCTGTAAAAGCATAGTCAAGTGTCAGTCTGACAGAACGAGCCGCTCTCGGGGCTGCTCGAGCACAAAGCACGCGTCGCGCCCCACGCTCCTGACATCGCGCCTGAATTAGCAAACTACATGCGTCTGCGCACGAAGATGTGCGCTCCCAACCACTTCTGTAATTATAATTTTATTAAATTAATTCTATAAACAAAATAATAATTTGATTTTAACACAAAATCTAACCGATTCCTTAATTTTCGCTTAGCAATTGTCTAATTTTCAATATTTAGCTAACTCAAATTGCACAGAAAACACAATTTAAATAAAAAATTGTGGTGTTACTGTCGTAGCTAAAGGTTATATTCAGAAACTATGCCGTATGACATAATTTAATACGTTTTTGACATACGGGTCGAAGTCACACTTACTAATTTTTAAATCTTATTTTTTAAGGAACGCAGCAATACATACTTTTTAAAGTATGATAAGTTTAATTACAGAAATTTTTATTACTAAAAATTTATTTTTATTAATTGAATTAATACTACAAAGAAAGTAAGTATTTTTAAATAAAAAAAAGTCTTTTTTTAAAAACACCTTTTTTTTTTTGTAAAAAAATTAGTAAAAAAAGTTAATCTTTAAATTTTAAATGTTGTTATAAATAATTATATAAATATTAAAAAAAAACAAAAAGGGATTATATATATTTCCAAGATGGCAGTCCATAGCGGAACGAATTTTTTAAACGGGGGGCCCTCTACCCAACCCCCCCGGGTTTTCCCCCCAAACCCCTTAGTGCGAAGCGTCATTACTGAATATCACACTTATAGTGGTAAGGACTCTTCTTAATAAATTATGTTCAACAGCCAAAAATATTAATGAATCATTTTATATTTCTGCATGATTTTGGTGTTATGCGGGAAATATCGCCCATCTAACCGTTGCACTGAAGCTCGAAGGATACGTAAGTACGAGGTAACTATACCTTCCAATAGAAGCGAGTTTCCAAGCTCGCAAAGCGGCCTCCACAAGGCGTATCGCGTTTTGTCCATACTCAGAGGCAGCGCGTAACCGCATACTTACTGATGCCAGCGCGTTACGCAATTCTTGGGAACGCTGCAAAGCGCTTTCTAAGTATAAACCAGGACGTGATTTTTTAAACCATAGCGAGTCTGAAAAGTAGGAAAAGTCTGTAAAGTTTGAAATGTAACATTATAGTGTTGCCAGTTTATGATATTGTTATTATGGATGAGAATAAATATTAATTTATTTCCTTGTTTTATATTCTTACAACAACTTAATGCTAATACATCAGAAAATTTATGAATACAAAATTGAAACTTAAAAAACAAGAAAACATAAAACGTAAAACTTTTTATAACTTATTATAAACACAGCGAGGACATACTACCAGCGTTTAAGGTACACTGCCAAAGGTACCAAACTTTAAAAAAATGTATTTTATTTTTATTAATGTTTAATTATTTTTATTATTACTATGTAGGTTAAGAAAATTGTAAATTGTATATTTGATTGTTATGGTTCTGTTTAAATAAATAACTTATTTTATCAATTATAAATACATATATATAATAAAAAGTAGTTTAATGTTGGATCGAGAGTGAGAAAGCAAGCAACTGGCGAGAAGCGCCACAGAACAGAGAGCGGTGTCAAACAATAAATAAACGTTGAAACAAAGTTATTTTGAAAGAATTCTATTGACTGTGATAACGCGCTACTGATTTTTAACTTACTAGCTAAAAAACCCGGCTTCGCCCGGGAGTAGATATGAGATGACGTGGTAGAGTCGAAATAAAAAAATAAACTATGACGTAAAAAGTAAAAAAAAAGTTTATTGAAAACGTTTTCTCATTATTTACAATACTTGTTTATAAACAACATTTTTCATTTTATTGTCCGGAGTATATATACATAAATTTTTCGGATTTCCTACTCTTGAGCAAGCTACATATAGCTGACCGTGAGAGAAGCAGGATTCTTTGAGGTTAATGCGACAATATTTTAAAGTTTGTCCTTGCGCTTTGTTAATTGTAAAACTAAAGGCTATTTTTTTTGGAAACTGCAGTCTTTTAAATTGAAATGGCAATTCCGAAGAGATCAGAGGTATTCTAGGTATAAATACTGTCTGTCCTTTGGTCTTTCCAGAAATAAGTTCAGCTTCAATGATATTATTCGATAGCTGTTTTACGATCATTCTAGTTCCATTACATAATTTTGGGGAGTTGAGATTTCTGAGTAGTATGATTGGAGTTCCAATTTTCAGACGAAGGCAGTGTAATGGCATTCCTGGTACTTGTAAAGAGTTTAGAAATTCAGTGGGGAAGTTGACACTTTCTTCAATGGATACCATCGTGTCGATCGATTTATATATTTTCTCTTCACCAGGTATTTTCTTTAGAATATTAAAATTGATATCGTCAACAATATTATTTTTAGTGGCCAAAATTGCTCTTTGAAATAACCACTTTTTTAATGTTTTGAGAACTAATTTGGATAACTAAAATTATGTCGCTTTAACTCCAAAATATAAGTTAGCTAATGACGTATAAATACACAAAATTTAATAACTTTATTCTATAATAACAAACAAATTAAATTTAAGACTATTGAAATTGGAATTTTAAATTTCGTGTCACTACTACACATGCTACAATTGCTCGCAACGCTTTTGGAAATGCAACCCAAACAATCGTTGTCCTGAATGAAGTTCAAATATTCGATAACAGATGGCGCCACTATACTTAATTTCCAAGTTGTAGGGTTGGAAAGTTCCTTATATCTTTAGAAACACGCCCTTTAGATTAAAACGGGAACTTTCTAGCTTCTGTAGCGGTAGCGTATGTAGTAAAGGCGCGAAATTTAAAAACCTAAATTTTTAAATATTTTGAGAACTAATTTGGATAACTAAAATTATGTCGCTTTAACTCCAAAATATACGTTAAATAATGACGTATAAATACACAAAATTTTACAACTTTATTATAGTAACATGAAATTTAAGATTTTATTGAAATTGGAATTTTAAATTTCGCGCCACTACTACACATGCTGCAATGGCTCACAACTATGGAGACTATACACTATGACTATTGGAGTGTATAGTCTCCATAGTTGTCTTAAACGAAGTTCAAATATTCGATAACAGATGGCGTCACTGCACTTAATTTCCAAGTTGAAGGGTCGGAAAGTCCCTTATATCTTTAAAAACATGCCCTTTAGATTAAAACGGGAACTTTCTTGTTCGAGGGGGGATAAAGGGCTATCACACCACATAAGTCCCTTTATCGTGTCGGGACTCCTTTTTAAGTTTTATCGGCACGCACATTTTATCGACTTAGTTTTATTATATATATATATATATATAGATTATATATTATTATAATAACAATCCTACAATGAAAAATATACGAATTCGCTGATCGTGATTACTGTTGAAAAATATTATGCCAACAGTGTAAGAAGTTGGAAGAATTAGATTAGCGAAAACACGAGAATAAGATTAGCTTACAAAGTTACCCACTTTTGTAAACACAACAAATGCTTACAAACAGTAACCTACTGTTTGTAAGCATAAAAAAGGTATAGATTTTACTTACTCTACCCAAACTGACTGGTAAAGAATATTACTAACTGACAGTTAAAAATATCTTAAAATTTAAATGTACTTATGTAAAATATCATATAAGATCAAACCTAGTAACATTTGAAGATTTGTGTATAAAGTTTTCAATCGCAAGAGCTGCGTGTGTAACAATTGGCTCTCACGTTCCAAATCCTTTTCTCGTATTCGTAAATATTTTGCTTCTAAGTAGCGCATTTCCTGTAAACAACATTTCACCATTATCTAAATATCTAACAGTTTAATGAGAATTTAAGAAATCGCTCGCTTACTTTACCTAAGCAGTGGGAAACATCTGTAATAACATTACTACGTATATATAAAAAGGGAGACCCAATGAACATCAATAATTATCGACCTATAAGTTTATTACAATCTACTTACAAACTTTTTACAAATATCATCCTTATCAGAATGAAGAAGGAGCTGGAGTTCCAACAACCAAGAGAACAAGCTGGTTTTAGAAGTAAATATTCAACGCTAGATCATATATTCACACTTAGACAAGTCATTGAAAAATACATGGAGTATAAAAGACAGTGTATATAGCCTATGTGGACTACTCCAAAGCCTTTGACACAATCTTACATAACAAA